AAAAAAGAAAAAAAAAGGAGACAAAGGGAGAGAGAGAGGGCCCTCCCCCGGCCCTCCCAGTCTAAGCGATGATTTCTGGGCGAACGCGGACGGCAGGTTCAATGGGGTGGACGACGGCCCAGCGCTTGGGCGGCGCGTAGAAAATCACGGTGAGCTCGACGCAGTCTTGCGACGAGTGCGTGCCGTAGTACGTGTTTTAAGGAGACAAACAACCGGAACCCCCGAGCCCTGCCGCTACCCGCAGGCGGGCCTGCCCGCCCACTGCCCACGGACGGGCGCCTATGCGGTGGACGTCGCGGCCTTCGAGGCGCTCGCACTGCCCGCCCTCTCGCCTCCTCCGCCCTCGGCCGCCGCCCGCCGCTCCGTCGTCGTCATCGACGAGGTTGGTCGGATGGAGCTGCACTCCGCCGCCTTCCAGGCCGCCGTGACCCGGCTGCTCGCCTCGCCGGCCGAGGCGGTGGTCTTCGGCGCGCTGACCGCGCCCATCTACGGCCACCGCGTGCCCTTCTGCGACGCGATCGCGGCGCACGGCCGCGTGAGCGTCGACCGGATCACGCAAAAGACGCGCGACGCCGTGCGCGAGGCGCTGCAGCGGAGGCTGTTGCGCGAGGTGGGGCTGAGGGAGGAAGGGTAGGCGTAGGCGCGCGGGGCCCGGGGCTGACCGTGTCGGCTGTCGCGTCTCCGCACCGTCCGGTTTGAGAGAGCCGCGCTTTTGTAATCAGTTCCTGCGAAGTCTCGAGGTACGAGGAGATCGACGGTCGGTCGCACACGGTTGGGAGAGTCGGGTTGTATATACTTATTATAACTTAAGGGCGGCTACGTAGCGCCAGAGTGCAGAGCCGAGGTGCCGAGGCAGAGAGCGCACAGAGGTCAGAGCCACAGGGTCAGGGACAGGCGCCTGCCGGCGCCGCGCCGCACCCCGCACCACCCAGTCTCCCACGCTTTTCCAGCCGGGTCCTACCCACAGAATCGAGGTGCGCGATAACCGCACCCGCCAACAGCGCACAGCTTGCCATCGAGCACCTTCCAGCCGCGGCGCCACGCGCGGCACGTCACGTTGACAGCGTGCTCCTTGGTTGGGAGCGGGCGAGGATGAGGGGCGATATCCGGCAAGCTAGGAGGACTTTGGAGAGCACCCACTCGGGCTGCCTCCACGAGCCGAGCGGCATGCTCCTCCGCAACGCGCATCGAGCTCAGGGAGAAGCAGCGAGAGGTGAAGCATCCGCAGCGGGGAGGTGGCGCGCAAGGAGGCCGAGCTGAGGCCGCGCAAGGAGGCCGAGCGGAAGGACAAGGGGCGCAGAGCGACACGGAGCACCAGCAGAAGCTGCAGAGCTCGCGCCCGCCGCGCCTTGAGGATGGCGCACAGCTGCTCTGGCGAGAGGCCCGAGAGGCGGGCACCGGGGCGGTGGGTTGGGAGGAGCTACAGCTCGCTATGC